CCGAAGGGGGCAGCCGAAGGGGGCAGCCGAAGGGGGCAGCCGAAGGGGGCAGCCGAAGGGGGCAGCCGAAGGGGGCAGCCGAAGGGGGCAGCCGAAGGGGGCAGCCGAAGGGGGCAGCCGAAGGGGGCAGCCGAAGGGGGCAGCCGAAGGGGGCAGCCGAAGGGGGCAGCCGAAGGGGGCAGCCGAAGGGGGCAGCCGAAGGGGCCGAAGGGGGCAGCCGAAGGGGGCAGCCGAAGGGGGCAGCCGAAGGGGGCAGCCGAAGGGGGCAAGCCGAAGGGGGCAGCCGAAGGGGGCAAGCCGAAGGGGGCAGCCGAAGGGGGCAGCCGAATGGGGGCAGCGAAGGGGGCAGCCGAAGGGGGCAGCCGAAGGGGGCAGCCGAAGGGGGCAGCCGAAGGGGGCAGCCGAAGGGGGCAGCCGAAGGGGGCAGCCGAAGGGGGCAGCCGAAGGGGCAGCCGAAGGGGGCAGCCGAAGGGGGCAGCCGAAGGGGGCAGCCGAAGGGGGCAGCCGAAGGGGGCAGCCGAAGGGGGCAGCCGAAGGGGGCAGCCGAAGGGGGCAGCCGAAGGGGAGGGGGCAGCCGAAGGGGCAGCCGAAGGGGGCAGCCGAAGGGGGCAGCCGAAGGGGCAGACCGAAGGGGGCAGCCGAAGGGGGCAGCCGAAGGGGGCAGCCGAAGGGGGCAGCCGAAGGGGGCAGCCCGAAGGGGGCAGCCGCAGGGGGGCAGGCCGAAGGGGCAGCCGAAGGGGGCAGCCGAAGGGGGCAGCCGAAGGGGGCAGCCGAAGGGGGCAGCCGAAAGGGGGCAGCCGAAGGGGGCAGCCGAAGGGGGCAGCCGAAGGGGGCAGCCGAAGGGGGCCCGCAGGGGCAGCCGAAGGGGGCAGCCGAAGGGGGCAGCCGAAGGGGGCAGCCGAAGGGGGGCAGCCGAAGGGGGCAGCCGAAGGGGGGCAGCCGAAGGGGGCAAGCCGAAAGGGGGCAAGCCGAAGGGGCAGCCGAAGGGGGCAGCCGAAGGGGGCAGCCGAAGGGGGCAGCCGAAGGGGGGCAGCCGAAGGGGGCAGCCGAAGGGGGCAGCCGAAGGGGGCAGCCGAAGGGGGCAGCCGAAGGGGGCAGCCGAAGGGGGCAGCCGAAGGGGGCAGCCCGAAGGGGGGCAGCCGAAGGGGCAGCAGCCGAAGGGGGCAGCCGAAGGGGGCAGCCGAAGGGGGCAGCCGAAGGGGGGCAGCCGAAGGGGGCAGCCGAAGGGGGCAGCCGAAGGGGGCAGCCGAAGGGGGCAGCCGAAGGGGGCAGCCGAAGGGGGCAGCCGAAGGGGGCAGCCGAAGGGGGCAGCCGAAGGGGGGCAGCCGAAGGGGGCAGCCGAAGGGGGCAGAAGCACGAAGGGGGCAGCCGAAGGGGGGCAGCCGAAGGGGGCAGCCGAAGGGGGCAGCCGAAGGGGGCAGCCGAAGGGGGCAGCCGAAAGGGGGCAGCCGAAGGGGGCAGCCGAAGGGGGGCAAAGCAGAAGGGGGGCAGCCGAAGGGGCGCACCGAAGGGGGCAGCCGAAGGGGCAGCCGAGGGGAGCGAAGGGCCGAAGGGGGCAGCCGAAGGGGGCAGCCGAAGGGGCAGCCGAAGGGGGCAGCCGAAGGGGGCAGCCGAAGGGGGCAGCCGAAGGGGGCAGCCGAAGGGGGCAGCCGAAGGGGGCAGCCGAAGGGGGCAGCACGAGGGGGCAGCCGAAGGGGGCAGCCGAAGGGGGCAGCCGAAGGGGGCAAGCCGAAGGGGGCAGCCGAAGGGGGCAGCCGAAGGGGGCAGCCGAAGGGGGCAGCCGAAGGGGGGCAGCCGAAGGGGGCAGCCGAAGGGGGCAGCCGAAGGGGGCAGCCGAAGGGGGCAGCCGAAGGGGGCAGCCGAAGGGGGCAGCCGAAGGGGCAGCCGAAGGGGGCAGCCGAAGGGGGCAGCCGAAGGGGGCAGCCGAAGGGGGCAGCCGAAGGGGGCAGCCGAAGGGGGCAGCCGAAGGGGGAAGCCGAAGGGGGCAGCCGAAGGTGGCAGCTCGAAGGGGGCAGCCGAAGGGGGCAGCTGAAGGTGATCGAGCATCCGGACGGTTCGGCTCCCGTCACAGCCTTGCGTCTCTCATCACCCGTTTCCTCCCCTTCCTCCCCTCACCTCTCTTTTCTCCCCTATTTCAATTCCCAGTGCCCTGAGCTCCGCATGTAATGAGATGGGTTTTGAGGCGCCTCAAATCTCTTCCCTTGCTTTCTATCTTGCAGGTACCCAGAGCAGAGGCAGGTGGTCAAGCTTTTCCCACTCTCTCATCAATCCCTTGCGTCTCATCACACTCCTTGCTTCACTTGCCTTCCCTGCCCCCCCTATTTCCATTCTCAGATACCCAGAGCTGCGCAGCATGCTGTGCATAGGGGGCATTGACATGCGGCAGCAGCTGGAGGTGGTCAAACGCGGAGTGCACATGGTGGTCGCCACGCCTGGTCGGCTAAAAGACTTACTTAACAAAAAGCGCATGAACCTGGACATATGCAAGTACTTGTGCTTGGATGAAGCCGACAGGCTCATTGACTTGGGTTTCGAGGATGATATCAGAGAGGTTTTCGACCACTTTAAAGCCCAGCGCCAGACGCTGCTGTTTTCCGCCACCATGCCCAAGAAAATCCAGGCGTTTGCGAAAAGTGCCCTGGTGAAGCCGGTTATGGTTAATGTGGGGCGTGCAGGTGCAGCGAATCTGGACGTGATTCAGGAGGTGGAGTACGTGAAGCAGGAGGCCAAGATCGTGTACCTCCTCGAATGCCTCCAAAAAACGCCGCCTCCGGTTCTGATTTTCTGCGAGAACAAAGCCGACGTGGACGACATTCACGAGTACCTGCTGCTCAAGGGAGTGGAGGCGGTGGCAGTGCACGGAGGGAAGGACCAGGAGGAGCGCGAGGCGGCAATCGCGGCGTTCAAGGCCGGGAGGAAGGATGTGCTGGTGGCGACTGATGTGGCGTCCAAGGGGCTGGACTTCCCGGACATTCAGCACGTGGTGAACTATGACATGCCCGCTGAGATTGAGAACTATGTTCACCGCATCGGCCGCACGGGGCGCTGCGGGAAGACGGGGATTGCCACCACGTTCATCAACAAGAACCAGGTGAGGTCCTCACAGGTGCAGTGCAGTGCTGAGGGGTCCAGGTGGGTGCAGTGCGGTGCTGAGGGGTCCGGGTGGGCGCAGTGCGGTGCTGAGGGGTCCAGGTGGGTGCAGTGCGGTGCTGAGGGGTCCAGGTTGGTGCAGTTCGGTGCTGAGGGGTCCAGGTGGGTGCAGTGCGGCGCTGAGGGGTCCAAGTGGGTGCTTTGCGGTGCTGAGGGTTCCAGGTGGGTGCAGTGCAGTGCCGAGGGGTCCAGGTTGGTGCAGTGCGGTGCTGAGGGGTCCAGGTGGTTGCAGTGCGGTGCTGAGGGGTCCAGGTGGGTGCAGTGCGGTGCTGAGGGGTCCTGGTGGGTGCAGTGCGGTGGTGAGGGGTCCAGGTTGGTGCAGTGCGGTGCTGTGGGTTCCAGGTGGGTGCAGTGCACTGGTGAGGGGTCCAGGTGGGTGCAGTGCGGTGCTGAGGGGTCCAGGTGGGTGCAGTTCGGTGCTGAGGGGTCCAGGTGGGTGCAGTGCGGTGCTGAGGGGTCCAAGTCGGTGCTTTGCGGTGCTGAGGGTTCCAGGTGGGTGCAGTGCAGTGCTGAGGGGTCCAGGTTGGTGCAGTGCAGTGCTGAGGGGTCCTGGTGGTGCGGTCCGGTGCTGAGGGGTCAAGTGGGTTTTAACCCCTGTTTTCCCCTCCTGGTTCTCCCGCTTTCCCTGCTTCCCCTGCTCCCACTTCCCCCCACCCCTTCCTGCAACAGAGCGAGACGATTCTGCTGGATCTGAAGCATCTGCTGCGGGAGGCGAAGCAGCGCATCCCCCCCGTGCTGGCCTCCCTGGACGACCCCATGGAGGACGCAGAGGCTCTCGCCGCCGCCTCTGGTGTGCGCGGGTGTGCCTTCTGTGGCGGCCTTGGCCATCGCATCAGCGAGTGCCCCAAGCTCGAGCACCAGAAGACTCAGGCCATCTCTGGGAATCACAAGGACTACTTGGGGTCGGGAGGGTATGGAGGGGAGATGTGAGCAGAATGTGGCACTATTTCCTCGCTTTCTGCAAGTTTTTGGCACAGCTCTGGCAGGGATTGGGGGTTGAGGGGACGGCCCCTGGCGTGCGCGCAGGAGATTTCTGGGACACACAAGGACTACCTACCTGGGGTGCGGGGGGTATGGGGGGGAGATTCAACCAGAATATGGGGAGATGTGACAGGACCAGGGCAATGGTGGGGAGAGAATGAAGCAGTGTGGACCTTCGGGGGAAGTAAAAATCATGTATAATTTTCTTGCCATTGCAGAGGAAATGCTGTGTTCGTGCTTCTTTGTTGTCACGAGCTTTCAGTGGGCACATTTCACAAAGTTTTTTACCATATATTTTGTTTGCCTTGGACTGTAACTGCATTTATTTACTCTTCATCGCTTTGTTTGGGCTTTCTCTTTCGCGAAATCACGAATGTCACTAACGAGTACCGAATCATTCGCGTCCATCAGCCGTTTCCCGCGCGGTTTGCTCGTAACACACCACCATCGCCCTCAATGATTTTGGCCTGGCGTGAACAGCTCAAATTCGCATCGCAGCCATCGCGTATGTTGTTGTGCAGCATCGTCGTGGTCCCGTCGACGCCGTTTCGTCGCCATGTCTGTTCAAGGCGCGTGTTCCGCGCGATCGCACTCGGCATCTCCGTTCGCGGCTTCCACTTTACGACAACATCAACACCCGTTTCGAAGCCGCATGGCACTTCCCGCAACCACACTCCTAGCGCGAACTCCCACGGGCCGAACGCGAATTTCGGCGGCTCGAGCGCAAATACCGGCCGGAAACCACCCGTGTAGAACACTCATTCGGCCTGACACTCTAACGAGCGCGATCAGATCAGAATACCCATGGGTTAGAGTAGAATTCCCTGCTATTTTAGCCAATCAGAGAAGGTTAACCTTGTGCGCGATAGATGAGCGCGATTGGTACGACTAATGGCGGTCGGAGCGGCGGAGGGCAGCGGAGGAGGCCGTCCGTTGTGTGGGAAACGGGGGAGGGAACCGGTGCGGAGGGGCGGAATGCGGTGGGGGAGGGACGGAATGCTCTATGGGAGGGGTGGGGTTCACCGGGGGAGGGGCGGAATGCGCCAGGGGAGGGGCGGAAATGGACCGCGCGGGAGGGGGAAAGAAGGGGTGGAGCGAATGCAGTGAGAGGCGCAGTTTGGCGCAGAGGCGCAGTGGAGACGCGGGAGGCGGCGGGGGGAAGAGAGGCGGCAGGGGGTAGGGGGGCGGGAGGGGGGAGAGAGGCGGGAGGGGAAAAGGAGGGAGCAGAGAGAAGAGGAGATGAAGAGGGGCAGACGGGAACGAGTGAAAGCAGGGTAGCTGCATGGGCAAGGGGAGAAGAGGGGAGAGGAGGGGGAGGGGCGCAAGGAATGAGCAGCGACAGCAGAGACGAGAGAGTGAGGCAGCGGAGCAGGGCAGACGGGTGGGTGGGGCCATCTTGGGAGAAGAGAGGGAATGGGGAGTCGAGAGCAATGGGGCCAGAGGGGAGAGTTGGGGGAGGAGGGAGAGGGACTCAACGGGCGAGCAGCAGCAGTCACAGCAGCAGGGTAGACGCGTGGGTGCCTCCCTCTTGGGAAAAGAGAGGGAATGGGAATTTGAGAACAAGGGGAGCTGAGGGGGGAGGAGGGGTTGGGGCGGAAAGGACGAGCAGTAGTCGCAGCAGCAGGGTAGACGCGTGGGTGGCTCCTTCCTGGGAGAAGAGAGGGAAACGAGCATGGTGGATGGAAGGCGAGGATGGGGGGAGTGGAGGAGAGGGGGGGAGTGGAGGGGATGGGGGGAGTGGAGGGGATGGGGGGAGTGGAGGGGATGGGGGGAGTGGAGGGGATGGGGGAGTGGAACGGACGGGAGTACTGCAAGGGACGGGGGTATGAGAGGGACTGAGGTGGAGAAGTTGAGAGTAGGGCGGGATGGTTAGAGAGGGATGGAGAAGGCATGGAAGGGGAAGGAGTAGGAGTAGAGAGAGTGAGAGGAGAAGGGGTTTTTCCATGGCAGGACGCTGTATCATCAGCCACAGCAGCAGCTGCAGCTGCAGCAGGTGCTGGTGGGTCTTCCAGTGGTGCTGTGGTTGCTGATACAGCCGTGGTAAGTGCCAGTGGATTACTGAACGAGCAGTCGCACTCACCATCCACAGCAGCAGTCGGGGGTTCTACCGATGGTGCGCCCACAGCAGCATTTCACGAGCAATCACAGTTCCCTGACCGACCAGCGGCAGTAGCAGCAGGAGCGGCAGCAGCAGCAGGAGCAGCAGGAGCAGCAGCAGGAGCAGGAGCAGCAGCAGCAGCAGGAACAGCAGCCGCAAAACAATTGGTGGTGGCTGCAAGTGTTGGTGATCAACCCACACGAGCACGAGTGGCATATCCACCATTCGACACAGAAGAGCCAGACGCAGCAGAATCACACGCAGGAGAGCAAGCCGAATCACGAGCAGCAATGGTAGCATCGGCACTGAACACAGCAGAGTCACATGCAGCAGATCGTGCTGAGAGCCCGACTCCTTCCCCTGGCAGGGCTTCAAAGGGCGGCGGGCTGGGAGGGCAGTCACGCACACAGGAGCAGCAGTGGCCATGGGATGAGGAGGAGGGGGATATCCCATGCGCAGGGATTACCAGTGTTGCTGATGACGATGGTGATGGTGGTGTTGGTGGTGTTGGTGGTGGTGGTGATGGTGTTTCCAGTGTGACCCGGAGCAGAGCAGCAGCGGCGGCCACTGACAGTAGCAGCACCAGGAAGAGCGGCAGGAAGAACACTTCTTTCACCAGGGATGGCAGCAGCAGCAGTAAGAATGCCCCTCTGGAGTCTGCTAGAATACCCAGGCTGGAATTTTCAGGAAACGGTATACCCTCCTTGCCGTCTCAAAGCAGCAGCAGGAGCGGTAGAAGCAGCAACAGCGGAAGCAGCCTGGAAGTTTCCCGGGACAGCCCCGTGGCGCTCGCGCTGCAGGAGAGGCGCAAGGTGGTGCGGGCGGCGCTGATGTCAGCGTTTGAGGAGGTGAAGCTGGGGAAGGTGTATTCCAGGGAGCTTATGAGGCACCTCCCTGCCTATATCGACCAGCTCGTGCTCCAGGTGAGGCTTCAGGTGCCTTTTCAGGTGAGACCCCATGTGCCTTTTAAAATGGATTTCCATGTAGATCTCCGGGTGGGTTTTTGGCGGGGTTTCAGGTGCGTTCCCATGTGGATTTCAGGTGTTTTTTCAGGTAAGACTCCAGTTGCATTACTGGTGGGATCTCTAGTATTGGCAATTTTGCCAGCGTTCGTACAGGTGAAACTGGTGAAAGTGTGTTGGGATGAATCTGTCAAAACAGAACCGGACACGTTTTCTTCCCCCTTCCGCTCACTCTCTTCCCCCCAACCCCCCATCCCCTTCCCCAGGCTGTAGCCCTCAAGTCCGATCCGCACTACACCTTCCACTCCTTCCCCCACCGCGCGGCCATCGCAGTGCACCGCTCTGCACCGCACCTGCTCGCGCGGTGGCTGAAGCAGACGGCCAAGCAGACCTTCGCCCGCACTGCCGCCCTCATCACTCTCGCTGCCGCCATGCATGCTGATTCCACTGATGCTGCTGCTGATGCTGTTTCTGCTGTGGGGGGAAATGCCCTTGCCAGACGAGATGGGCCGCGTGAGGGGGAGGAGCAGGAGCGGCGGAGTGGTGTGGTGTGGGTGCGGGATTACATCGAGTGGTTGCACCGAGCAGGGGTGAAGCATGATGTGGTGGGCCGCATCGTTGTCCGCAACCCTGCCATCCTTGCCACACCGATCCACGACCTTCAGGTGGGTAGCCCGCACGAGCGGGCATGGGAGCGGTTGCACCGATTAGGCGTGAAGCATGATGTGGTGGGCCGCATTGCCGTGCGCAACCCTGCCATCCTCTTTGTTTGAGATTGATTTTGAGAATTGTTTGGGGCGCATCCAAAATCAATCTCATCCTCGCCACTCCCATCCCCCACCTTCAGGTAACCCCTTCAACTCGAAACCCCTGAACCCTCAACCTGCCATCCTCGCAGCACTTAAACTGCACCTTGAGGTCGGCATGAGCAAGGTTGGGTGAGTGGGCAGGTGGGGTGCAGTGGGAAGTGGCGTGGTGTGGTGTGGGTGAGGGATTACATCGAGTGGTTGCACCGGGCAGGCATGAAGCATGATGTGGTGGGCCGCATTGTCGTGCGCAACCCTGCCATCCTCGCCACGCCCATTCATGACCTTCAGGTGGGTAGGTCGGCAAGCATGATGAGAGGGCGGGTGGGTGGGCGGGGTGCAGTGTGCAGTGGTGTGGTGGTGTGGTGTGGTGTGGTGTGGGTGCGTGGGTGGTGCAAAGTGGGTGAGGGATGACATCAAATGGTTGCACCGAGCAGGCGTGAAGCATGATGTGGTGGGCCGCATTGCCGTGCGCAACCCTCCTTGCTGCACCCATCCACCAGCTTCAGGTATTATCCCCCTAAACCCCTCAATCCTGCCATTCTTGTCACACCCATACCGAATAGACTGCCTGGTCAACCAAGTGGGCGTGCGGTGCGGAGGGAGTGGGTAGGAGTGGTTGGGAGTGGTTGAGTGAGGGTGGTGCTAACCAAGCAAGGCGCCAGGCGTGCTGAGGGACTCTCTTATACCTTCCTCACTCATATCCTGCTGTGTGTGGTCTTGTCTCTTGTGCATTTTATCCTGATCGTGTGGACTGCCTGGTCAACCAAGAAGGCGTGCGGAGGGAGTGGGTAGGAGTGGTGCTCAGCAAGACGCCAGGCGTGCTGGTGGAATCTCTTACGGTTTTCTCCTCGCTTACCCATTTCCCCCCTTCCCTCTCCCGTGTACCTTCCGCCATGCCTTTCATCGGGTATCTCCCTCCTCTCTTCCCCTTGCTCCAGGTCCGAGTAGACTACCTGGTCGACCAAGTGGGTGTGCGGAGGGAGTGGGTAGGAGTGGTGCTCAGCAAGGCGCCAGGCGTGCTGGTGGATCCATTTGAGAAGCTTCTAGGAAAGGGGCGGCTGCTGCATGCTATGCTTGAGCCGCTGGCAGCGCAGCAGCGGGAGCAGTGGGAGGAGCGGGAGAGGGAGAGGAGGGTGAGAGAGGCGGAATGGGAGGAGGAGGCAAGGCTGAGGGAGTGGAGGGAGGAGAGGGAGGAAAGCGAGGAGAGGGAGGGAAGGGAAGGAGAGGCAATGGCAACAACCACAATCCCAGCAGTAGGAGCAGCTGCAGCAGCAGACAGAAGAGCAGCAGCAGACAGAAGAGCAGCAGCAGACAGAAGAGCAGCAGCAGATGCAAGTGCAGCATCACAGAAAAGAGCAGCAGGTGGAGAATCAGAGTCGCTGGTTCTATCTCTCCCCCCCCTCGCCTCTCGAGACATCCCTGCAGCTCTCCGCCTGCCAGACTCCTTCCAGCACCACCCGTTGCCGAAAAGCGTGTGGGAGCTTGCCGGCACAGTGGTGTACAACCACCCTCACGTGATGAGCGACGAGGATTTACCGATGGAGGCACTTGAGGCAAAGGTGAGAGACATGGCGCATTCAGTTCAGACTACCAGTGCCTCCAGTCCAGCCGCCTGCCAGCCTCCTTCCAGCTCCGCCCGTTGCCCAAGCGCGTGGTGGTGCTGGCTGGCCGGCACAGTGGTGTGCAACCATCCTCACGTGATGGGCGGAGGTGATTTACCCATGGAGGCATTGCAGGCAAAGGTGAAACATGGCGCATTCAGAGTGCCTGCCCCCAGTCCAGACGCCTGTCAGCTGCCTTCCAGCGCCGCCCGTTGCCCAAGAGTGTGAGGGAGCTGGCGGGCCCAGTGGTGTGCAGCCACCCTCACGTGATGAGCAACGAGGATCTACCCATGGAGGCACTGCAGGCGAAGGTGAGCGACATGGCACATTCAGGGTCCAAGCAGACGCCTGCCACTCTCCTTCCTTCCAGCACCACCCTGGTGCCTAAAAGTGTGTTTGAGAGTGGCACAGTGGTGTATGGGAGCTGGCAGGCACAGTGGTGTACAACCACCCTCACGTCGTGAGTGACGAGGATTTACCCATGGAGGCACTGCAGGCAAAGATACGGGAGTCATGCTGGAGTGGATGGGGTCCGTCCAGTCTCCTGCTAGCCAGGCTCCTTCCAGCACCACCCATTGCCTTAACGTGTGGTGGAGCTGGCATCACAGTGGTGTGCAACCACCCTCACGTGATGAGCGACGAGGATGTACTCCTCATGGAGGCACTGCAGGCGAAGGTGAGAGACATGCTAAACTTCTCACATACTCCGTACTAACTCCTGCCCGCCACTCTCCTTCCTTCCACCATCATCTGTTGCCTAAACTTGTGTCTGAGCTGGCCGGCACTGTGGCTGGCACAGTGGCTGGCACAGTGGCTGGCACAGTGGCTGGCACAGTGGCTGGCACTGTGGCTGGCACAGTGGCTGGCACAGTGGCTGGCACAGTGGCTGGCACAGTGGCTGGCACAGTGTGCTGATGAGAGAAATGGATCTTCAGGTCAAGGTGAGAAGCATACTAGAGTCCTTCCAGATTCTGCCTGCGAGACTACTTCCTTCCAGCACCACCGCCTCCATCCCCTCCCTCCCCCACCCCCACATCCCCCTTTTCCTCACTCAATCGCCCGCCCGCAGCTGTGTTTTGAGTCGACTCAAAACTGCGCCCGCCCGCAGCTGCTGCAACTAATTCCATCTGACTTTCTGCCCACTTTCTCTCCGCCACCCCACCCTCCCCACCCCCCCCAAATCCCCCCTCTCCTCACTCCATTACCAGCTCACATTCTTCAGTCCTTACGTATTGTGTGCCATTGTAACGAGGTGACTTTTTAGTGGATTTAAAAGTCGTCCCGTCCTCTCTCTCTCTCCTCCCTCAGTCGCCAGCTCGCCTTCTTCGAGTCTCTACATTTTAGAGGAGTGGGCCTGGCAAAGGTCATCGTGCAGCGCCCACTATAAGCTGTTAGAATTTCAACGCCCCTTTCCCCCTTTCCCCCTTTCCCCCTGTCCCCACCCACCCCTCCCCTTTCTCCCCCCTCAAATGCCAGCTCGCATTCTTCGAATCGCTCCACATCAGGGGAGTGGGCCTCGCTAAAGTCATCGTGCGCCGCCCGCAGTTGCTGAGCAGCTCGCTGGACGCCACGTGGCAGCTGCTGATTCGCTACCTCTCGCTGTTGGGGCTCACCAACACGCAGATCGGGGAAATGGTGGTGCGCCACCCAAAGGTGCTGCAGCTCACCGTGCAGGCGGATGTCTCTCCTAAGGTATGGGTGAGGTATAGGAGAGATGGTGAGATGGTGGTGCGCCACCCAAAGGTGCTGCAGCTTACAGTGCAGGCAGACGTGTCTCCCAAGGTACGGATGGGTACGGATGGGTACGGATGGGTGGATGAGTGCATGCCGTTCAAACCTAATCGGCGAGATGGTGGTGCGCCACCCGGAAGTACTGCAGCTTACAGTGCAAGCAGACGTGTCTCCCAAGGTATGGACGTGGTCTTGTATGGGTACAGATGGGTGTGGATGGGTGCCTTCTGCAGCTGACTTACCTTCAAATCAGATCCGGGAGATGGTGGTGCGCCACCCAAAATTGCTGCAGCTTACAGTGCAGGCGGATGTGTCTTCTAAGGTATGGATGTGTACGTATGGGTACAGATGGGTGTGGATGAGTGCATGCCGTTCAAATCAGACCGGGGAGATAGTGGTGCGCCACCCGAAAGTCCTGCAGCTTACAGTGCAGGCGGATGTGTCTTCCAAGATATGGATGTGGTTAAGTATGGATGAGGTCATACCATAAGGTAGCTATGGTGCTGCGATGTCACCACCAGCACCTGCTGTGAGACTGACCAGCGTTGGAATCAGGCTGGGGAGCTGGTGGTGCACCACCCGAAGTGCTCCAGCTCACCGTTCAGGCAGACATGTGGTATGAATGAGCTTTGACCACCCGCAGGGTCTGATCTGACTTACATTCAAATCAGATCAGGGAGATGGTGGTACAGAAGGTGCAAATCTGTGACCTAAACCCAAAGGTGCTGCAGCTCACAGTGCAAGCGGATGTCTCATCTAAGGTATGGATGAGGTGAGGAACGGACAGGTTCTTAATGTATGCGTTTGCTATCATTGGGTCGACTCAAAATTAGACCAAGGGTGCTTCTGGTACATGTCAGTTGCCGAGGGACAAGCTCTTAGGTGCTTCAGCTGCCGAGGTGACTTGTGAGTGACTTGATATCCGCCCCGGTCGGTGGTCGCCAGGAAGTGAATCCTCACTCTTCCGTGTGCCTCTCATCTCTTGGTCCTCTCAGGTTCGCTTCCTCCGGCTGATCGGGATTCCCGAGGCAGATGTAGCGGGAGTTCTGCACCGCTTTCCACCCATCCTCACCTACAGCCTCGACAAGAAGATAAGACCACTGGTGAGCTGAGTGGTAGTAGCCTTTGAGGCAGCTCGTCTTGTCTTGCGCTTGCCATCAATCAACCATGCAATGAAGATGTTTCTGCCACTCGTCTTGGCTTAGCTGTGCCCATATTCCCAACCATTGGCTCCATTAGTCGTGCATCTGCCCCCCACACCACAGCTCATGCAAGCTTAGCTGTTGCAGGTGGTTTTGAGAATTCTCACAAACCAGCTGCATCTGCAGATATTTACAAGCCAAGCCATGTTTTGAGTCGACTCAAAACACGACCTGCTGCATCTGCAAATGTTTACTAGCCAAGCCACAGCTCACACAAGCTGAACCGATATTCTCCCTCCCTACCTGCTTCACACCAACCCCGCTTCCTCAGGTTCGGTTCCTCGTCACCGAAGCAGGAGTCCCGGACCACGAGGTTTGGAAGGTCGTGGTGGCTCGGCCGGACTTGGTGGCGTGCCATCTGGACGACAGGCTTCGTCCGCTAGTGCGCTTTCTGCTATCCATGGGCGTAGTGAGGGAAGATGTGGGGAGCATGGTGGTGCAGTTCCCCCCTCTGCTCAAGTACAATCCGGCTATTCTCAAGCCCAAGTGGCGGTATTTTCAGAGGACCATGCGGTTGACTGTCGATCATCTAGTGGCTTTCCCACGGTGAGTGCGACAGGGTGTAGCATGGTTCAGTTCGGTGTGGTGAGGAGCAGGCAGAAGAGGACCCCTCGGCTATTCTGAAGCCCAAGTGGCGGTATTTCCAGAGGACCATGCGCCTGACCGTCGACCATCTGGTTGCCTTCCCATGGTGAGTGTGGGGTAAAAGGTTTCTCTCCTATGGTACAGTACGGTTCTGTGCGGGGAAGATCAGGCAGAGAAGGAAGACGTGAGGACGACAGGCTTCGTCCGGTAGTGCGCTTCCTGCTGTCCCATGGGGGTACGGTCCAGGCTTCCTGCTAGTACGGTCCAGTGCGGTGAAGCGCAGGCAGAGGAGGAGGAGGATGTGGGGAGTTTACAGAGGAGGAGGAGGATGTGAGGATGTGAGGAGGAGGAGCAGGCAGAGGGAGGAGGGAGGGAGTTTACAGTCCCTCGGCTATTCTGAAGCCCAAGTGGCGCTACTTCCAGAGGACCATGCGCCTGACCAACAACCATCTGGTTGCCTTCCCACTGGTAGTGCGATACAGTAGAGGTAGGGGACAGCATGATGTGGTTTTATGGTGGTGCAGTATGGTGTAGTGTGGTGAACAGCAGGTGGAGAAGGTGGAAGCGTGGGGGCCATGGCGGAGAAATCCTGGAGCCCCAAATGGCGGGATTTCTCCAAATGGAGCAATCCTCGAAGACCATGTGCCTCACTGTCGACCATCTAGTCACCTTCCCACAGTGGGTATGATATGTTACGGGGTGCAGTGTGGTATGGTATAGTATGCATCCTACGGTGCAGTACGGTTCAGTGTTGTGATCAGCAGGCGGAGGAGGTGGCAGAGGAGAATGTGTGAAGCATTGCTCCTACCCAAGCAGGGGGGTATCATTGCTCCCTCCCTGCACCCCCTGCTATCAGCCTCTGACGGTCCGACCCTGAGGTTTGGTCACACCCGGCCCATATCCATCACTCCCCCACACCCTGCCCTCTAATCCCTTCCTGTTCCTTTTTCCAAGCAGCTTCCTAAATGCCCTGGACACACGCATTGCTCCCCGAAAACTATCGAGTTCACTTGTTAGTCTCCGCCCCCCCTCCGCCCTCCCCTTGTTCTCTCTTCCAAACCAGATTCTTCAGCTATGATCTGGACACACGCATTGCTCCGAGACACCGTCTGCTGCAGCAGCAAGGGCTGTCGTTCAGCCTGAGACACATGCTGTGCTACTCAGATGCCCACTTCCCATGCCCCTACTTTCTTCCAACCCACCGTGTCTCTCCCTCACTTCCAAGCAGCTTCTTAGCTATGCACTCGACACACGCATTGCTCCGAGGCACCACTTGTTGCAGCAGCAAGGGCTGTCCTTCAGCCTGAGACACATGCTCTGCTGCTCTGGTCTGATGCCCTCTTCCCATGCCCTCTTCTTATGTTCGTCTCATGCCCACTTTTCACAGATTCTTCAGCTATGCCCTGGACACGCGCATTGCTCCAAGGCACCGCCTGCTGCAGCAGCAAGGGCTGTCCTTCAGCCTGAGACACATGCTGTGCTGCTCAGATGAGCTGTTCTTAGAGCGGGTCAAGTGGGCGCTGCAGGGGAGAGGAGAGGGAGGTGGAGAGGGAAATGAGGTGGAAGGGAAGAGGAAGGGAAGAGGAAGAAGGGGAGGAAGCAGAGGAGGGAGAGGAGGAAAAGGGGGAATAGATGTGGAGGAGAAGGGAGCAAGCGTAGCTTATTAAGCTCATGCATTCAACCTGCTGCAGCAGTAAGGGCTGTCTTTTGGCCTGAGACACATGCTGTGTTGCTCCGATGAGCTATTCTGGAAAGAGTGAAGTGGGCGCTGGAGGGGAGAGGAGAGGAGAGTGGGGAGGAGACTGAGATGGGTGAAGAGGACGAAGAAAAAGGGATGAATCAGAGGAAGGAGAGGGGGGGAGAGAGGTGGAGAAAGAGAGCAGGCTCAGGGTAGTCTGCCACACAGACACATGCTCATGTGAAGTTCAACATGAGGCACATGCTGTGCTGCTCTGATGAGCTGTTTTTGGAAAGAGTGAAGTGGGCGCTGGATGGGAGGGGGGAGGGCAGTGGAGAGGACGGGAGAGGAGAGGACAGTGAGGTGGGTAGGGAGGAGGAAGTGGGGGAGGAAGCAGAGGATGGTGAGGAGGACGAGGGAGGGGGGAGAGGAAGCAGAGGTGGCACAGAAGAGAGAAGGGTTGGTGTGGTTACCGTAAATGCTAGATCCATCTTTCAGCGGCCCATGGCTCATGTTGTTCTGCTGTTTTTTTTGTGACTCGTAGTTAGATGATAAGATTCATCATTCAACCTGAGGCACATGCTGCGCTGCTCCAATGTTCTGCACCTGGACTGGATTCTTTGGGCGCTAAATGAAGGAGGCGAGGGGAGTGTGAAAGAGGGGAAAGAGGTGGGAGTGGAAAGGAGGAGAGAGACGTGGGCTTCGGGGATTTACTATTGTCCGTCATCTGATGCTCTGTGTTAACAATAGTTGTCTTCACCATTTGACATAAAGAAACGACAGCTTTATTACCACAAGGGTTTAATCAAGACAGAGCACAAGACAAATGAATGTTCCCTGCAAGCATCCAAACCCTTCCCGTCCAAACCAGACTCAGCAAAAGCAAAGAAAAGCAAACCCAGACAACTAAACCAAACCGAACCATCACACCACCAAGGCTAGAACCAGACTCGGCACAAGCAAAGCAAAGCAAACCCAAACCGAACCATCACACAGC